GTCTTGTATCCCCTCCGTGTGCCCCTGCCCGCGATGGGGATGTGTCCTCCCATGTCCCACTGCCCTCGACTGGGATGTCCCCCCTCGCCCCCCATGTCTCCCTGTCCTCGATCAGGGTGTGTGTGTCCCCCTTCCCCCTCCTTCTGGAGTGGAGATCCCCCATGTCCTCCCCCAGAGTGGTTTTGACCCTGAAATACTCAGGCAGGAGGATCTAGGCACCCAGGGGACACCACAGGACAGCCAGTGTGACCCCAAGGCCACCAAAGTTCCCGGGGGGGGGTCCCTCTTGCGTTCATCTTGGCCCACCATGCTGGCATGCATCCCACTGCACTGCTGCTTTTTGAGGGGCACAGCTGTACCCTGGGCCAGCAAGGTGAAGGGACAAGACCAAGGATGCTCTGAGAGCCAGTGGCAGAGGTGGGGGGGCTGTCCTTGCCCCCCCCCCCAGCTAGCCCCTTTTGGCTGATGGGATTCAGATGGTCATTAGGGTTTGAGATTCTTAAAATCGTGCAGCTTTTCCTAATGAGCTGGGAAAAGTCACACCTCGGGCCCGGCACTGCGGGGGAGCAAGCCCCGGTCAAAGGACTCTGCTGGGGCTGAGGGGTTTATTGGGGAGGAAATGGGGCGCGGGGGAGTCAGGGGACTGGGGTCCACATCTGCATAGCAGCAGCCCCCCTCGCTCAGCTTTCACGAGGTCCCTGGGACCCAGCACACGCGTGTGCAGCCCTCCAAGCTGGGAAAAAAAACCCACCCTAGGATCGCTCCGGCACTGAGAAAGTCATTACGGGGCTCTGCCCCGGCAGTGAGCATCCTCTGCTCCACAGATGCATGGCCACCTTGATGATGGGGATGGGGACAAGCAGCTTCCTAGCTCCGTGGTACCGCGGCACATCTGAGCCCGGTACCAGCAGGCGAAGGCTTCCAGGGGTGTCTTTATGTTAAAAACCCATAAAAAGCCCACAGTGGGCACCATGACAGCGGCGATGCCATGCTCCCCAGCTCGTCACGGGGGCATCGCTCTGTGGCCACCGCGGTGGGGGCAAATAAAGGCCCTGGGGGGCACAGAGATGAAAGGGTGGCAGATTTGGTGTTATTAGGTCTTAATTACAGTCTTGAAAAGGCCAAGATAAAAAAGCAGGAGGCTCCCGCTGGGGCTCGGTGGGCTGGGGTGTGTTTGGTTAGGAGGTGCTTTCCCTTTTTTTATTCCCTTTTTCCTCTCTCTCTGTTTGATGGAACTCAGCAAACACCCTCTCTGGCACCTCCTATGCCCCACGCAGCAGGGTGGTCCCAGGATCAGGGGGTGCCCAGCACCCCTGTGCTGGATGGGATGCCAGTGGCATCCATGGGGTTGGGATCCAGGTAATATGGGGCCAAAATGGGGATATTGGTACCCAGTGGTTCTTTGTGACAGCCAGGTAGGGAAATCCTGTCCTGGAGAGATGGAGGGTGAGGGGGTTAGTAATTTGGGGGGGTGACGTTGTGCCAGCAAGGAGCACAGGAGGGCTGGAATTGGGGGGGTCACTGCCCACAAGCTGAGTGTCTTCTTTTGCCAGGTCCAGATCCAGAACAGGGACATGAACCCAGGGATGGCTCCTGCCTAATTTTGAGGCAAAATTGCCCCAAGGCTCCGGCTCCTGAGCTAATTAATAACAATGCTGCTCATTAGCAGTCGGCTGGGCTGTCTGGGGAGGGTGTGGATTGTCTGTCTGCAGAGGAGTGGGGCTTCCAGGGTCACCCCCTTGTCCCAAGAAAGCCTCAGGGGTCGCCCCAGACACCCTCCTTCCCCCCTTGGTCTTGTGCCCATCCTCTGTCCTGCAGCATCCCGCTGTTTGGCCATTGTCCGTCTGTCCATCCCAGCTCTTGGAGCACTTTGCCCACAAAATCCCTCTGCATTCAATTGCCAGTACGCTGGGCCAGTTGTGTGCTGGGGGCTGGGGTGGGGGCTACAGACAAGCACAGTTTGCAAGGAAAAAGAGTATTTTCTACCAATTCAGCTGAAATTATTGAAAAAAAAAGCCAAGTGGTTGGACACCCGCTGCCATCAAGTGGCTGAGGAGGATCCAGGCCTGATCCTTGGTGTCATGTCCCGTTCTGTCATGGCCCCCCCAATCATTTTATCTGAATCCCAGATCTCCATCCCAATTAAATGCACTCTTCCTTTGGTGTTATTAAAGGTCTTGCCACCTGGATTTGGGACACAGAGTGAAGCCCTCCCTTAAGCATCATAAGGTATGCAGCTCCGCTTCTTCTCTCGATAGCCTTGACCCAGCTCTAGGGAGGTTTTCTCAAGCAGGACTCATACGTGCACAGGTCACTGCCACCACTGGTGGCTATTTGTGGGTGCAAAGGCAGAAGAAAAATAAATAAAAATATCTTTTTTTTTAAACCCTGCGAGTGGTTGACTCGGGGAAGTCCTTGCCCAGGAGCTCTTGGAGGTTCAGAGCTTCAACAGAGGAGTTTCTGCAAATAATAACATCCGCATCTGTATGATATGGGCTAAAATACACTGTGCCCCAAACTGAGCGAGTCCTGCAGGAGACCTGGGTGTCTCGGGGCTGGGATGTGTCCCCCCAGGTCTGGGATGAGTTCCCCCTCCAGCAGACAAGCGGGATATAAAATTGAAGCAGGAGTGATATGTCTTCTTTAAAAGTTTTGCACCTTACCATGCACCAGAAGGAAAACTGGTAATTTTTTTTTCCCATAATCTTCCTTAGTTTGTGTTTCATGGCTTTTTAGATCCGCATCTGTATGATATGGGCTAAAATACACTGTGCCCCAAACTGAGCGAGTCCTGCAGGAGACCTGGGTGTCTCGGGGCTGGGATGTGTCCCCCCAGGTCTGGGATGAGTTCCCCCTCCAGCAGACAAGCGGGATATAAAATTGAAGCAGGAGTGATATGTCTTCTTTAAAAGTTTTGCACCTTACCATGCACCAGAAGGAAAACTGGTAATTTTTTTTTTTTCCCATAATCTTCCTTAGTTTGTGTTTCATGGCTTTTTAGAGCCATGGCTCTAAACCAGTTAGTGAGTATCCCCAGTAGCGGGCATCACAGGTAGTGAGTATCCTAGTTAGCGGGGATCCCAGTCAGCAGGGTCCCTGTTAGCGAGCATCCCATTTAGCAAAGACCCCAGTTTACAGGCATTCCAGTTAGCACAATTCCAGTCAGCAGGCTGGCAGTTAAAGAGGGTCTCTGTTACCAAACATCCCAGTTAGCAGGCTGCTAATTAAGCGGTGATGCCAGTCAGTGTAGATCCTGATTAGTGCATCTCTAATCATCAGAGATCCCGGTTATCGGGGATCCCAGTTAGCAAGCATCCCAGTTAGCGGGCTCCCGGTTAATGAGGATCCCAGATGGGAGGTACCCCAGCGGGCAGGGTCCTAGTCGGGGTCCCAGTGGGGGGATCCCAGTGGGGTCCCGGCGAGCAGCCTCCGGCCGGGCCGTTCCCCCACTGACCGCCAGAGGCCACTGCCCGACCGCGCTGAGCCCCGGCGACTGCGGCGGCGGCACCGGCTGGGACAGCGGGAGGGGGGACACCGGGCTGGGGGACACCAGGGATGGAACACCCCGGGATGGGACCCCCCAGGATGGGACACTCCGGGCTGGGATACACAGGGCTGCAACACCAAGGGCTGGGACGCACCAGGCTGGGACACACCGCGACGGGACACACTGGGATGGGACACACTGGGATGGAACACAAAGGGATGGGACACACCAGGCTGAGACACACCAGGCTGGGACATCCTGAGGCTGGGACACATTGGGGCTGGGATGCATTGGGGCTGGGACACTGCAGGGTGAGAAGGTTTCTCCCAAAACACTGCATGGATAAAGGGGCTCCAAGTGGAGGGTAACAACCTGTCTTCTCTCCACGCACGGGTGCCACCATTGGCCATGCAAGCTCTAGCTGAACTTTTGGGTGGTACAGAGATGATGAGGACCACCTCCAGGAAAAAGCCAAGCGCAGTCCCACCATGCGTGCAAGCAAGCCAATGGCAGACCAAGGACAGCATCGCTGCTCTGCTGTGCCCCAGGCCACGGGTGTTTCTAGGGGCTGAAATATGCCTGGGAACTCAATCCACTGAGTTGTGTGACTTCATCCAAGCCACATGAACCCTGCAGGGGGTGGCTCTGTCCGCAGCATCCCACTTGTTGGCTGACACCCCAAAAAGCTGGCCAAATTCAGCCCATCACTAACTGGGAGAACACATGTGGGCTGCAAACAGCTTCAAAAACCCATTAATCAGCCCTAAAAGGGCACATCCCTGGGCAGAACCATAAGGCTGTGCCTGTCCCCACCATCCCATGGGGCAGCATCAACCAGGGGCTACGGGAAGGTTGAGGTTTGTGCTTCTCCACGTGCTGGTTATGGGGCAGCGGTGCCAAACATGCTCCACGACAGCGTCATTCCTGTGATTTCCCTCAAGCTGGAACCCGGTGCAGGGGGTTTACAGTGTCCCCAGGTCCACCAGCATCTCTGCAGGTCCACCTTTTTGCACTACCATTTGCCCCCAAAATCTAGGAGCGAGTCGAAACCCCCGTCCATCTGCCCAGCTGGGAAAGTCAAAAGCAGTGTCATTGCCAAATACAGAGGCACTTGCAGAATTGATGGCAGCGGATTTCCACCCTTATTTGTCAACAAGCCTCACTGGCCTCCCCCCCAACCCCGCAAAGCCCCGTTAATCTCCGATACAATTGCAGTTTGCTGTGCAAACAGCTTGGGGGGGGTGGGCAGCGTGGGGTTTGCATGAGAAATGTGTCATTTGGGGGCGGCCGGCAGCCTTGTGGGTAAGCCAGCGAGTGAATCGCAGCATCCCTAACGCCGGATTGAAATGATTTCGAAGCAATTGCCCTTCAATAACCCTAATCCTCGGCCGTGAATGAGGGTTTTTAACTCCTGGCCATTATTCCCACCTTATTATCTATTGATTGACTTTTAGAAAGGGTAATAACGTAAATGGATTGATGCTCTGAATCCCGCCTGGAGATCAAATGGAGCCTATGGTTGTTTTTCCATGTGGGATCCAGCACATAAAGCCCAGAGCTTTGATTTTGGCCCCCGAAGCAGAGACGGGGGCGAAGGGGTGATGGGGGGCAAGGAGATGGGGAAAGGGGAGGGGGGTACAACAGATGGGGAGCGGCAACCTCCATCCCTCCCCGCTCCACGAAACAATCAGAATAAAAGCAAATTATTTCTCCTATTTTCCTTTGCAAGATGAACGATAAACTGTCCATCCCCGAAAAGAAACTGATAACGCCTCTAATTTTACTGGAAGGCCTAAAAATGCCATTTCTACGCAAAACAGGGCGCCACTTTCCTCCCCGGCCAGCCTTTGATAAATGTTGTTTTTTTTCTTTCTTTTCTTTTTTCTTTTTTTTTTTTTTTTCTATTTCCCTTTCGGTTCGCAAGGGGAAATGCCCCCGGAGCTACAAACAACGCACAATAAAGCAAAATAATATTTTAGTCAAAATAGGCAGACGGCGCTCGCAGCCAACTTTCAAATTAGCATTTTGAGGGCAAATATGCAGACAATTTGAGATAATGAGGCCTGATTATTCAATCCAATGAATGTTAAATAGGCAGTGAGGGCGCCCGCGTCTTATCTCCCCGGCTTTCGATTTATTTTAGTTTAGTTTAGTTTTAATCGTTTCCCATTTGAACTCTTTATTTGTCTTGGCTCCAGCCCCCTCTCTCCCCCCTTCTCTTCCCGGGCATCCCTGCGCTGCCAGCCGGGATTTTGTAGCGGGAAATCACCGGCATGGACTCGCCATCCCCTTTGCAACCCATTTTCAGGGAGCATTTTGCAGCTTGTCCCTCAAAAATGGGAGCCCAGGGAGGTTTGGGTGCTGCTGTCAGACCCAGTCCATGTGTCTGTTCCCCAAACTGGGAGATGTTTGGGTGATGTTTTGATGGTGGCGTGAACATTTGCAGGGATGTGCACCATCGGCGCGGAGATTTCGGGCGATGCATCCCCAACTCCGCTTCATCCTTCATCCCTTCCCTTTAATCCCAGGGCTGTTTGTGCAGGCGGTGGTGCGGTTGCTCCCACCCTGGGTCTCAGCACCCATCGTAAAACGAACGCAAACAGCTAACGAGCCGCGGGGGAGATGATCCCACCACCCACTGCCACCTCAAAGCAAAGCCCAGCTCAGCATCCCGCCCGCCTCAGCATCCCATTGTGTGGCTCCCGTGACCTTCCAGCAGCATTTTCCTTCGTTTTCGCGGAAATGCAATTTTTTTTCGCAGTCCCAACGAGGTGTATTTCCCATCCCCGGGGAGGGAAAGGTCAGCTCCAGCCTGGGGACCTCCCAGGGGTGAGCAGCACCAAACGCTGCCGGGGCCCCCCCAACGGAGAGCAGCATTTTGCACCAAAAGTGGGGGGAAAAAAACCCAAATCATGTAATTGGCATTGTTTTCCAGCTCCTCGTCAGCAAGGCAGCCGGGTTAGGTGAGACCCTCATCGAGGATGCCGTTGCAATGATATTTAGGAGCAGGCTGGGGGAGATGCACAGCTGCCACGGAGGAGGAAGTGAAAATTAAGGAAAAATTAAAGTTAAAGCAAAAATTAACGTCAAAACAAAATTTAAGCCAGCCCAGGCTCGCCGAGGATGGTGCGAAGGGCACCCATAAGGCAGTGACATGTCCATCGTGCTGCCGCTAACCCGTTTTCCCTGCGATTCAAGAGAAGAATAAAAAAAACCCAAACCATTTATTTCAGAGGTAATTAAAAAACCTCTTTATGCCTCAAATTCAAAGGTGGAGGTAAATATCAAAGAGATGCATAAATAAGAGCTGGGAAGCAGAGCGGGGCAGGGAAAGTGAAGGGAGACGGAAAAAAAAACCCCAATTACGGGGGCAAGGATGGAAAGCGGCAGAGAGGAGGAGATACAGCGAGAGGAGAGATAATCAGAAAGAAAAAAAAAAGGGGGGGAAAAACAATCAAAAGAAGGCAAAATAAAAAGCAGATGCTGAGGAGGGATAAGAGGCGGATGGCAGAGTGGGGCCGGGCACCGGACTGGAGGGATAATTGGATTTCGGTTCATCTCGGGGGCGATAAGATATTCCCCGTGTAGTTTTTTTCCCCTATTTGCAGCATATTTTAATGCAGGATTTGAATACAGCCGGGGCAGCGTGTCCCGATGGAAAAAAATATGGGTTGCTGAAGTTCCCCCCCCCCCCCCCCCCCCCCCCCCCCCCCCCCCCCCCCCCCCCCCCCCCCCCCCCCCCCCCCCCCATTTCCCCGAGTTTAGGCACTCGCTTGGAAGCTTTTTGGGGCAGAATGCGGCTATTCCTGCACTCAGCAGCGTCGGTCTCGTTAGCAGCTGTTTGGGGTGAGCAGGTGTGGGTGCGAAAAGCCAGAAGGAAGGAGAGGGGATGCAGCAACCCCAAAGGGGACGCAGCAACCCCAAAAGGGACACAGCAACCCCCAGAGGGGATGTAGCAAATCCTGAAGGGGGTGTACAAACCCCAAAGGGGCTGTAGCAACCTCAAAGGTGATGTGGCACCTCCAAGGGGGACACAGCAACCCCAAAAGGGGGCATATCCCAAAGGGGCCGTAGAAACCCCAAAGGGGCCATAGCAACCTCAAAGGGGATGTTGCACCTCCAAGGGGGACACAGCAACCCCAAAGGGGATGTGGCAAATCCCAGAGGGGACACAGCAATCCCAAAGGGGCTGTTTACACCTGTGCAATGCCCCGCGACCCTGTCAGGGCACCCAGTGTCCCCACGGCCGAGCGGAACGGACAGCCCCGACCCGCGGGGAGGGGACACGGAGCAGAAGGAGGCAAAAAGAAAAAAATAAAAATAACCTGCCACCAGTTCGATGCCGGAGATGGGAGCGATAGAGCAGAGAGGCCCAGCCCCGTCCTATGAACCGAGGTGGCCCCGAACGCCCCTTATCTTGATGACATCAAAGCCCCGGGGGCCCAGATCGCCCCGTCATCGCCCAGCCGTGAGCACCCAAAATGCCGGTACCGAGCACCAGCACACCCCGGCACGGCTTTTCGGCGTGACCTTGCTTGAGGGGCCTGGGGGAACGTGGGGTTTGGTGGTGCAACCAAGTTATTAGGGTCAGCGGAGAGGTTTTTAATTGCTTATTAGGATTGAGGGCCCCCGGTCGAGGGACGCTGCTGTGTCGCCCCATCGTCGCCTCCCCCCCCGCCCCCCGGCTGCCGCGTGGGAAACGCTGCTGCGTATTTGAAGCGCGTGGCTCTGTGCCACCATCGTTCCCGGGAAAATCAGCCAGACGGGGAACACACGGGACACCGGGAATCTGCTCGAGGACGGCACGTGTTCACGGGCTGGGGGGGGGTGGGTGGTGTGTCCTCCCGGGGTGCAGGGGGTTGCTCCAGCAGCAAATGGCGTGTGTGCACGCGTGTGCGTCCTCCTGTGCGGGCACACGCGTGTGCTTGTGCACGCACAGACACACACGCACACGCTCGCACATACGTGGGCACCCACGCACGTGCTTGCAGGTGCGGGGACACACATGCTCCCGCTGGCACACGCGTGCACACGTGTGCTCATCCCCGCACGCAGCGTGCACTGGCACACCTTGGGGCAGGGTGGCCCCCAAAAAAGAGCGGCGGGGAAACGCTGGGCACAGCAGCGCCCGGAGGGGAAGGCGGGTGTCGGGGTACACACACAGGCCCGGTGTGTCCCTCTCTCCT